CACGGATCTAGGAAAGTGTCTTAACTTCTGGTCGTTGGAGCAAGGGTCGGTATCGTCCATCCAGTTGTCAGGACTAATGTCGCATGCGAGTACGAAGTCACCGGAATAGTATACCCGGCTACCCTCCTGGTTTAGCCCGCCTGCCTGACGGCTGACCGGGGTGTGGCCGCTGCCGCGCACAAGCAGCTTCTTGGAACCACAGGTAAGAGCTGGGTGATAGGTGCAGACAAAAGATAGGTGGACTACCCCGGAGGGTGAGACAGATCCCCTACCAGAGATACTACTCCTCCCTGGCACCCCAGGGAGTTACAACCCATAAAAAGGCGCTAGTGCCGGATCTGCACATCCGTACTAGTTAGACCGTTCACTGGGAATCCAGCAAACGGTTCGGCTAGGTGCATGGCTGCTACCTTCAGTCCCTTTGGGTATATATTATTCGCTCCAGCAGACCTGTGTGTACGAAAGGATAGCAGTGTTTACAGCACCGGTTTTGCAGTGATTGAAACGCTGAATAAAACAGATGGAAGCAGTAATAGCTTTCGAGCGTTTTATTCTTTGGAAATTAAATGAGGTCTATGTCCGTGAGGTACCGACTGCTTCTCCCTCCATATATGTATACAAGCCGACCGTAGTGAGTGCTGTGATTCCGCGCTGCACGTTACGAAGGCTGTTAACGTGTATGTAAGGGAAATTGTGGTTCCAAAGGATTCGTTTCATCAACTGCTATTGGTGTGTCAACTAGGTCTCCATGAAATAACCGCAGTTAGCAATTGTGTTAGCCGACTTTCTTAATAGAGGGTTTTGTGAACGTACATAGTCCAACCTCTTAGGACTGTGTACTTTCGTATTTTGCTGCTTAAAAGGACTTTAGTTTAGGCGACCATGGAAGGCTTTTGTCTTGATGCCTTCGCGACTGACGGCATGCAGAATGCTGGGAAGCGCAATTTTCAATGAAAACACCAACTGTAAGACCAGACTCGGTGACGGTTTCAAGAGTAGCTATAACATCCGAAGGGACACAGCAGTGCATGAGCGGACACCCGGATCCGCGGCATCTGACACTTGAATATATACGAAATCCCTCTCGAGAGTCTGCAACCCATCCGAAAAACGATTAGCCGCCGACCTTACATCGGTCGGCGTAAACGCACTTACTTCATCCATTCCACCCAAAACACTTGTAGTCTCCGGGAAGCTCTCATGCATGTACATAAATGCCCAAGGTCGAGTCAGCAAATTGACTGCATTATGACATCGACACGCGTCAACAGCTTGGGACATCATCGCTATCACGGAAACGTGGTTGTGCTGTGTGATAACGGATGCCGAAATCGCGCTAACAGGTATGTCTGTTGTTCAGAATGATCGAGCCAGCAAAGGTGGTGGTATAGCCCACTAATTTCGTAACACAACCTTCAGTGCGTAGCCATGCGTGATTCGGAAACCCATGTATCTGACTCCATTTGGTGCAGCTTCCGGCTGAGTGGGAACGATCTTGGCCTAGTGGTTTTTGTTTGCCGAGCACCATCGTCTACACCTGAGATGAACTACAACTTGGCGGCTGCATTGAGTCAAGGGATAAACAGAAAGTACAGTCACGTTCTAGTCACCGGAGATTTCAACTTACATGCTCTAGAATCCCAGGCCACACCAGTAGATCAATTCAAAGCAGATCTGCAAGATCTTGTCTCGGATTTTTCATTTTATGGCCATGTCCCTTCGCCCACCAGATTCAGGGGAAATAACAGGATATCCATATTAGACCGAATATCCACTAATGAAGAACCGAGGATCGAGATGGTGATAATCGCTACTCCTCTAGACCGCAGTGGTCATGCGACTTGCCATTTCATGTACACTTACTATGCGGAATATCCCGAGGACCGAACTCAAACAACGCGAAACTTAACCGGTTACGACACCTTAACCCGACTTGTTGAGGCGACCGACTGGAGTTTCCTAACCGAGAACGCACTCGATATTGCCTGGGGACGTTACGTTATTAAGTTTAACGCCCTGGTTAGTGAAGTATCGGAAACCAAGACTATCAGTTCGAGAAAGATAGCGTCATTTATACGGAGTAGAACACGTAAAGGTATGGTGATGCGTAACGCGGCGTGGTGTACCCACAAAACAGACCCCAGTCCGAGTACCTGGAAGGCCTATTTTGTCCACTGTAACCACAGTACTCAATTAGTGCGCGAGGACAAAGTGGCTTATCAACGTACCTTAGCTGAGCGATTAACTGCGAATTCTAAGCTTCTGCACACACATATGAACAGCCTCCGCAAGGTGAAAAGTGGATTTTCTCCTCTTCAAACAGCGGATGGTCTAACGCGGACTGCTAAAACAGCGTCGAAGGTTCTGCAACAACAATATGCACCAACGTTTCATTGAATCTCATGGTCTCCTGAATCTTTCGAATTTATGGTACCCACACCAGGACTGACTAATAAAAATCTTACCGCAGACATCGTGATGAGAAAGCTGCTATCCATGCGCCTGCACGCCAGTCCAAGAATTGACAATATCTGCGCAAAGACGCTTGCTGTGGTGGTTACTATTCTGGCTGAACCTTTGGCGCGGCTGTTCCAGCGCTGTCTTGACGAGCGGCACGTTCCTGCGATGTAAAAACACGAAATAATGACCCCCATTTACAAAGGGCGTAGTCTTTCCGATCCAGCTAATTATCGACCGGTGACTCTACTGCCAGTTCTTTCAAAAGTTATGCAGGGTATCATTGCCGACGCACTCATGTCTTATCCGTACGGCTTTTGTTACAATGCTCAGCAGCAACAAGGCTTCCGCCAGAATCGGTTTTTGCACAACCAACCTATTGTTAGCACAAGACAGCTGGACCGAAACTGTGAACGATGGTGTAGGAGTTGATGTGGCTTACTTGGATTTCTCCAAGGTATTCGACCGGTTGGCCCATCGTATCCTTCTCGCCAAACTTTAAGGATGTGGCATTAGGGACCTTCTCCTCGAATGGATCTTCAATTTCCTCTCGCATAGGTGTTTGGAAGTAAGAGTATATGAATCCATGTCAGACACAATTCACGTCGAATGCGGAGTGCCACAGGGTTCGGTATCGGGGCCCAGTCTATACTTGGTCTTCATAAATGATATAGTGAGCCGAATTGTGTCAAACTGTTTACTCTATGCCGATGACATCAAACTTTTGCCAGTGCTCAGAGCTCCAGAAGACCGCATCCAACTTCAAATCGATCTTGACAAGATTTATGGATGGTCGGTCAAAAATCGCTTTTCCTTCAATGTGGCTAAATGTCGAGCGCTCCATTTAAGACCCCGAATAGTTCACACTTATAAGCTGGGGGATCAGGATCTGCAATACTGTTCCCTCAAAAAGGATCATGGTGTGTTGGTCCAGGAAGAGCTCACCTGCTCGGAGCAGTGCAAAAAGGCATCGAAGAAAGGGATTCAAATCGTGGGGCTTTTACGATGAGCGTTCGGGCAATTCCAACCGTCGATTTTCCGTCAAATGCTTCCCGATTATATGCGATCACATGTTGAATTCACGCATGGCACCCATGGTTAAAGCGGGATCACACGGTCTTGGAGCTTCCACAACGTCGGGCGACCAAATTTGTCAAGGGGCTGCGCTTCCTGTCATACGAACAGCGCTTCAGAGTGCTTGGCATTTACGGCGGAAGTTATCGCCGTTTGCGTGGCGATCTAATCACGGTTCACCAAATATTAAACAACACTTATTACCCCTGCCAGCACCTATTGATGCTGAGTCACAACAGGCAGCTGAGAGCTAATCATCTCAAGTTGTCAGAACAATACAGTCGGTCGGAGTGTGGAAGAAACTTCTTCTCGCTGCGTGTTTGCCACAGGTGGAATACCCTCTCAGAAGCTATTATTTCAGCCCCTATGTTAGCCGTGTTCAAAGCGCGTTTCGAGAATGCACTGGTCACACTCCGCCATATCACGCAATCCAGACCACCCAAACAAACAGCAGAAAACAAAAACAAACCAACCCACCTTCATTTTTGAACGGAGATCACAAACGATAATCTTGAATAGTATATAAAGCGGACGGGAACGCTGTAATCGGAAAGTTCGCAATTCATAGTTGTTCACTATTTCCTATTGCCATTTTTGCCTTTATTTTGCTTACCCCCAAATCGATCACCGGGCGGGACATGTCAAGCTTCGGCTGTTTTATCCGCCATATTCCATTGATCATTGACCATTGCTCCCAGTCTATCTCTGGGGTGCACTTAGTCTGGTGCTTGTAGATGACTACCTGCTCTGGAAGCTGCTGCGATGAACTTTCGATTAATTACGGCAACAATCCTCGACGCGCGAGTTGGATTACTACTTATTAGCATGTGCACATCTCTTTATGAATTTCCCGGTGCGCACTCAATTTTGTTGACACGTACTTTGATGATTCTTTCTATTATCTTCCTGACCATCCTACGATACATGTTAAGGGCTAGCCTCTTTACGTAATGTCCCGTTGTTCGACTGCGACATCTGAACGCGTGTGGTAGTTATGAGTTCTCCTCGACAAGTAGTGAAGAAATATAACGTTTTAGACACTATACTTTTTTCGTAGTTGATCATTCATTCCTACAGATGATGCTGCCTTGAATCTCACATATTCTTTCACGTGTCGTTGCTTCTCCTTTCGATTGACCGCCTATCGCGCTCTCAATCTGACCAGAGAATCCCAGCACTTGAGTTCAGCTTTAGACTTGTAGCACAAGAGTAGATACTTCCTACAATATACCTAACCACAGGTGGTGCTGCCCACCTGCCTTTACTCAACTTGTATGTTGGTGGTCAGGTAGACAGGGGTTCCAGCGTGTATTACTCTTTTATATGACTATATTCTTTTAAATGCAGCGAACCATGGCCTTTGGAGACAAGCTCCAAGATCGTTTGCACTTCCGATGACAGAGTACTTGGTCGAGTGGGTGCTAATTAACAACACATTCACATAGGCAATCATTATTTTTTATCTCCAGCATTGTTCAGAATATCCTCGATAATCCACCGCGACAGCGATACATTGTGGCCAAAGATGACAGCGCCAACACGTTGGCAGAAATTGTCCAGGTAACTCCATAAATTTTCTTTATAATATCCTGCTCATCCTGCACCTGAGCTTCCTTTCTTTATTGGCTTGAATGACAGCTTTGCAGATGGGTCATCACAATAATGCTCAACTAACAATGGAGGAAAGAAACTTACAGAAACAAGCGTGTGCCCTGTCCAAATGTACGGTATTCACCCAGGTACATCCTTAGAAGTTGGAGATAATTGACCCGCGCTAGTTTGGCAGCAGTACATTTTTATAGCATTGCGAAACTCTTCATTATTAGGGACAGTGTCGTAGCCTGTAGCTTTTAGCTTTGGTGAATGCAGATAGGTATTAAAGATTGGCTGAAAATTCACCACACATTTGAGTCCATTGTGTGGTCTTGAACTTCCATCCACCGTGTTAAGCGCTGGTCGCGGAACTTTAGCCTCATGACCAAGACGTAAGCCGTCCACTACTGTGTTGGGCTCCCATCTCAGCTCACACTATCGTCCAAATCAGGACGAAACCGGTCGATCATGGAGTGCAGTGTAAGGAGAGAGGAGCCCCGAAATTCTCCAACCCAAGTAAGTCTTTATCCTCAAAATGCACCAGTTGTTCATGGGCACTTGCTGTTTATCAGGTATATGGTCCAGTGAATTAGTTGTTGATGCGATACAAGAATAAATCTTTAGCTAGAGTGACTGTGTACAGTAACTATAAGTCCGCATTTAGGGAAAGACCATCGACAAAGCTTGTACTGCGCCAAATACAGGTTCATCAATACACCAGATATCCAGTGCAAACCTGAAGCAACATGACAGAGAAGTATAAAGGTTAGGGTCACGATTGTTTCTTCAGACTTCTCCGTAGAAGTAAAATTATGGGAAAAATGCATGCTGGACGCACATACTTTAAGGAGTTGGCCGTAGTCCGTCCTATGTTGGAACCAATCTATGAGCGTAGAGCTCCCACGAGACTTGTGCGTTTTGTTTTTGCTAGCAATAGATTTGGTGGTTCATGGATTCAATCAGCGGGATAGCGATGTCGAACAGGTAAGAAACTTGTCAACGTACGCATCATGAGCGGCTATGTCTGAACTATCACATTTATGTCAGTGAATCATGTACTACCTGGAAGAAACGATAAGGTACGACACCTACTTCTTGCATTGTCGGCATGGTGAACTAGTGCTGTCCCCTTCGCTATTAAGAAACATAATGACGAGTAGGAACAGAAGCTCTTGCGTCGAAATGTTGCACTATTTGTATAGCAAAAATACCTATAAGCTCCACATCTCTCGAAGTCATTCGAACATATTACTGAGCGATGAAGTTAACGGATAGTTAGACATAGTCAACGAGAGGTAGTGGGTGACGCTACTGTAGTGGGGAAATGTGACTTCCTCCCATGGACAACAACTCATTGTTGCCAATAAGATTACCGTACTGGAGCGCTAAAAGTATGGTTCTTTCCAGCCCTGACAACAGTACAACTTGACATGAAAGCTCAGTGTAGCGCATAAGTGCATATATTTAAAACAATGGACTTATACACGTGGTAACCCATCCAAGAGACCTGCGGGAAAAGCGAGGAAAACGAATGAAATTAGTGGACGAAAATTCTACCGATATATATATATATATGTATATATGGTTGGCGGCATCCGGTTTCGGATTTGCCTGTCACTGTGGCAAGCCACAGGACGCCTGCGCCTACAGAGGGACCATGGATGACTTGCGCTGCACCACCCACAGCTCTAACCACACAACCCATATCCAGTGTAAACCCGAAGGAACAAGACCGGGAGGCATGTGCATGGGAGCCACGTTTCATCAACGGAGCCGGCCCATACTCCTTCACAAGCAAGCACAAGCAGGCTGTATTTGGGGAATCAAATGCACACAAGGCGGTGGCTGGACCGTAGTCCGCTCCACACTGAGTGCATGGAACAACTCTTCAAGCCTAACACCGCCACAAGGACCGTGCACCCCCTCCCCTCCAGCAACGACCAACTATCTCCTGGAGCCAGTATGGACGAGGTAGTGGGTAATAGACAGGTAGGCACCTTGTCAACATGCACATCAAGCGCGACCACACCGGGGATATCAAACAGCAGCCAATCACTTGAGAGAGAGAGAGAGACAAAGAAATTAGCTCGATTAATGCATAAGGAAACGGTGACATAAACCTTAAGTTAATGAGCATATAAAATAAGTTGTTTACAAACGAATCCTAGATAAGTGCACGAGGTCAGGAAGTATACTTTACGGAATGCCACGAACACAAAAGTGCTATGGAAATCGAATACAATTGGCTTAATCGAGGTGTGCAAGTTAATGGAATAGAGTACAGGTAGACATTTATATAAGTAAGAAAAGCATTTAGGCAAAATTGAAAACCCACCACCTAAAATAAAGAGACTTAGCATGCAAGCACGCGGTTAGTAAATCGAATTCAGCGTACCTACAAACGCTGCGCCGGTGCTGCCTACGTTCTCTGCAGGACCCGTCGTCGCTTCGGTAGTAGTCCCGAGTGGCCTCCCTCATGACTCACTAAGCCTGCCTGACTAAGGCACTCGCGACCACATGTTCTACAGCACAATGCGCTTGATGTCGATGGAGAACAGCTCATCGGTGCTTGCCGCTTCCGCACTTGCCGCTTCTTCTCTGCATGCATGAGGGCTTTCTCCTGCACCTCAGCAACTGCCTTCGTGATCAGATCGCGCCATGCACTCCGATCAACCGCCTTCGATTCCCATAATCTGCAATCAAGATTAGAACGTGTGAGGCTCACTTTAATCATGTCCTGGTAACGTAACTTTGGTTTCCCAGCATGCCGCTTTCCAATACTCACTTGACCGTATAAGAGTTGTTTCGGTATCCGCTTCAGACGCTTCGAATACCGTTAGCTTGGGGGAAGAAACAACATATGTGGGAAGAGCGTTCCAGTGTTCGCATACACGAAGGGAAAAGGAATTCCGGCGGCATTCCAACCGGCTGTATTGTGTGGTCAGCTTTAGCCGGTGTCCTCTGAGCGTGGTATTGCTATTCATCTTTAGTAGGTGACGACAAGAATGATTTGGATTCCTCAGGATCATATAAGTCATTATCAAGTCGCCACGCAGGCGTCGATATTGTCCACTGTATACCCGAAAACAGTCCTTACTTCTTGGTCGCCCTTCGTTGTGGCAGTTAAGAGCGGTAAGGTCTTGCTTTTGCCATGGCTGCAGGCGTGGATGGCGTATGAACAGCCCAGATCTTCCTGCACTATCACTCCTAGATCGCATTCCGTTGAAGTGCGCTGCAATATTTGATCCCCAGTCTGTATTCTCAAGTGGCTTTGTGGCGTACACAGCAACTTGCAATGTGTGGCGTTGAACTGAAGCAGGTTCTGGGTCGACCATTCATAGGTAATAGACAGGTAGGCACCTTGTCAACAAGCAAATCAAGCACAGCCACACCGGGGATGTCAATCAACAGCCAATCACTTGAAATGACATTATCAACTAAAATATATTTGTTAAAGAATAAGATTTTGCCGACATAACTATTCGCTAAATTAGCATATGAATTAGGTTTGTTATCAACGAATCCGCGATAAGTACAAAATTTCCACAAGTAACTCAAAAAATACTACACACACAATAACGTTAACGAAGATAACCCCAAACAGCGTAAGCAACGTGGCCAGTTGACAGAAGGTTATTCAAGTAGGCAGAACAAAGCAAATAAGAGTGGAATGAAATATATCCGGTTTAAAAATATCTAGTCTAATTGTAACTTGGATTAGCCCAACTACGGTTAAGAAGCATCGTGAAGGCAACATCAGCCTCAGCAAAGGGCGCATCCCATACGTGCACGGTTGGCGCCATCCGGTTTCGGATTTGCCTGTCACTGTGGCCAGCCACAGGACGCCTGCGCCTACAGAGGGACCATGAGTGGCTTGTGCTGCACCACCCACAGCTCCAACCACACATCCCATATCCAGTGTAAACCCGAAGGAATAAGACCGGGAGGCATGTGGATGGGAGCCACGTTTCATCAACGGAGCCGGCCCACACTCCTTCACAGGCAAACACAAGCACGCTGTATTTGGGGAATCAAGCGCACACAAGGCGGTGGCTGGACCGTAGTCCGCTCCACACTGAGTGCATGGAACCACTCTTCGAGCCTAGCACGACCACAAGGACCGTGCACCCCGTCTCCTCCAGCAACGACCAACTGTCTCCTGGAGCCAGTATGGACGAGGTAGTGGGTAATAGACAGGTAGGCACCTTGTCAACATGCATATCAAGCGCGTAATCCATACGGCTCACATGACTGAGCCATCTCAGGTGTCGCAGTAAAAGTATGCCGTCCACTGCATACATCCCACTTCGGAGCAAAACTTCCGTGTCTGCAACACGGGCGCCCCAACCGATGCGTAAAATTCGTCGCAGACACTGCTGATGGAACCGCTCGAGATATCGCACATCCCGACGGTACCTCGTTCACGTTTCACTGCCGTATGGAAGAACGGACCGCACCATGGATTTGTACACCATCAGCTTCGTGCCAATGCTAAGCTGATGGTTGTTCCACACTCGGTATTAGCTTCCCGAATGCCGCCGCTGCCTTCGACACGCGAATACGCAACTCAACGTGTAGCTGCTGATCAGTCGACATCACACTCCCAAGGTAGCAAAAGCGGGAGGTGGTTTCCAATACTTCAGCACCAATGCTGATTCGCGGCAATATTGAAGATTGCACCTCCGGTGAAGGCTGAAAGAGACAAATAGTTTTGCTTGTGTTGATGGTGAGCCCGAATTTGGCCGCTGTCGAAGCCAGAGCACTAGTCATGTGCTGCAACTCATCCGCGTTGTGTGAAAACAACGCACAGTCGTCAGCAAACAGCAACATACGGATAGTTGTCTCACAGACTAGAGTTCTCGCACCGAAACGACAGATGTTCAGCAACCCACCATCCAAACGGTCCTCCACACGAACACCGTAAGCACAAGCGGCACCAAAAGCACAAGACAACATTGCATGAAGAT